AGTGGGGGCTAAGTTTCTAATACATAAAACTTGGGGACACAATTCAAGTTTCAGTGAGTTTGGGGGACATAATTCAGTCCACTACACACGGTAAGAGAGAAAAAGGTGGCTGCCATCCTTCGGCATGGCTGTGTTCCCATTTCCTCCTCTTGGCTTGATTTTTTTCTTTCCTCTCATTCCTCAAGTATGTTATTTACTTGTCCCCAGGGTCATAAGTAACTGAACCACTAGAAGGAATTATATCTGAAAGATAGCCACCTAGGGATAGGCTTCAGACTGATGTAAAGGAACTGAGAAAAGTGGGATAAAGAATGCCACTTAGCCCTATCTCTAACTGTACAGCTGTGGAACTGTAAACTCAGAGTCCACGTTTAAGTTATAAACAGGGCCTCAAGTTGCTTTAGACAATGGGGCTCCACAGAAAGTTTTCAAGGTTGTACTATTTGTATTAAATGGATAGTAAATCAAAACCTTTACTTTTTTCTTCCATCTCTATCAATTTCTGATATAGATTAAGTACATATCAGAAAATGTATTGGTCTTAGTGATACTCTGTACACAGGCCAAAAGAACATTCACCTGCTTTAAGATGTGCTTGAGGAGATTTAGGCATTGAGAGCATTTAAGCAAATTTGGTTATAAAGTAAATGTATTGGATTCCATGATTATAATCACAGCTACTGCCATTGAACTGTTCCTCTGTCCTATACTCCAAAAGTTTGGTGAAGATGGGGCATGCTGGGAAGAAGAGTCCCCATCCAGCAACTCAGTTTCACTCTGAAGCATTTTCCAAACTCTACGATCTCTTCCCTGCAGGTCTCTCTTCCCTCTTTCTTCTAACCAGGCAGATTTTTTCCACGGTATGGATCACAGGGTTACCTTTACAAGCAGGGCTGCTGTGTACTGCCAAGGCTGTGCTCTGCACAGCTCCAGGGGGTGCTCTCCACAAAGACTAAGACTTGAATGGTACTCCCCAGTGCAATGAGTGTCCGACAGTGCTAAGTTGTAATACCAAAAAGTGCCACTGTCTAAGGCAGTAGTGCTCAAATAAAGTGTCATGACAATTGACAAATACCAACATTTAATTTAGTAATTTGTCACAAATATGGACATTCTGAAGATTGGATATAATCAAATTTTTCAATGTTAGAACATATTCAAGATTATGCCTCTTATGATGTTATGCCCATTCACATTTCAATAGCTTCTTAAAGGGCCATTTAGCCATTATGTCATGAGCAAGATCAACCACAGATGCCACTTAGAGTCCTTACTGTGTGCCAGGCATATTTCTCATTTCACTCTCACAACAACCACGTGGGGAAAAATGTTATTCCCCTTTGAAAGATATAGTGATGGAAGCTTAGAAAAACTGAACAACATAGCAGGTAAACTAGATCTCACCACACAGGCTATGCNAAAAGCTTCAGGTTAGGTCCCCAGTTTAATTAATTTTAGAAAATCTTCACAGCATCAATTCTAAGAAATAAGCAGTTATTGGAATTAAAAGCTCGACGTTTTGAAATGTTTTTGCCATTGACTAGTTCACCTAGTGCTATTTCCTCACTTGCAGGTACAGACCTGTTACCAGCCTCAGTGCTGGGGTTACAATGATGAAAGCTTTATAGCACCTACTGATGGAAAAGCCTTTGAATATGTAAATGATTACAGCATCAATGGTAATCTTCAAGAGTCTGGTAATTCAGCTTCTTCATAAAATACAACAGAGTAAGACCACTTAATACTGAGACCAG